AGGGGGACAGAGAGAGACAGAGGGACCGAGGCAGAGAGACAGTGAGACACAGACACACAGACACACAGACACAGGAAGGCAGTGAGACAGACAGTGGACCCAGACAGAAAAGGAAAGAAAAGCTGTTTAAACAAGGCCAGTTGGAGTGGACAGATGGGCTGCTGGGACGGGAACTGCATTTAAAAGGGAAGACAACCACCATGCAGCTGGGAGGGTGGCTCCGGGCTCAGAGCAGCCCCACGCACTTCCCACATCATTTGCGCAAAATTCTTTTTTTCTTTTTCTTTTTTTCAATACTGGGATTGGACTCAGGACTTTCATGCTGGGCCCTATCTCCAGCCCCCTCCCCCTTTGTTTTTAGTTTTTTTTTTTTTTAATTTTATTTATTTATTTATGTGTGTGTGGGGGCCAGGAGGATGGCTCAGTGGAATAAGCGCTTCCCTGGCAAGCGCAAGGGCCTGAGTTCAATCCCTGGTTCTGCCACAAAAAATAAAAAAAAATAAAAAATAAATAAAAGTAATGTGGGGCCAGGAGGATGGCTCAGTGGAATAAGCGCTTCCCTGGCAAGCGCAAGGGCCTGAGTTCAATCCCTGGTTCTGCCACAAAAAATAAAAAAAAATAAAAAATAAATATTTATGTGTGTGTGTGTGTGTGTGTGTGTGTGTGTGTGTGTGTGTTTGGCCAGCTCAGCCCACCAGGGGGCGGGGCTGTCTGGCATGTGGTGCTGGGGGATTGAACCGCGGTCCCTGTGCTTTGCTAAGCTTGTTCTAAGTAGGTGCTTTAGACCACTGAGCCATCTCACCAGCCCCTGTTTTTAGTTTTGAGACAAGGTCTTGCTAAGTTGCTAAACTGCGCAGGCTGGGCTCCAACTTGCCATCCTCCCACCTCAGGCTCCCATAATGCTTGGAATTAGAGGTGTGCACTACCATGTCTGGTTGAAACTCAGCAGATTTGCCTTCTGGGAAATGGGAACATTGTGGGGGAAACACCAAGCTGTCCCCTCCTGCTGTGACTGCCCTGCTGCAGATGTGATGCTTCTTTCTGGAGAAGGGGAGCCCAGAGGCAGATAGGGAGCTGCACTACAACTCTTCTCCTGGTCGCACTCGGGCACCTGTTAGGTGATGAAATCTGGGCTCAAGGTAGCGAGGGGTTCTGCTCAAAAGCCTTCTGTGCCGTTGCTCATCACCAACAGCTCTACCACCAAGTAATCCTAGGGACAGTGAGCGGAGCGTAGGCCAGTGACCCCTCTTCTAAAAGGGCAAACTCCGTGTGCCAGGGAGAGGCTAGCATGTGTTTGTGCTCACAGTGTATGAGGAGGCCCCCAAATGTTGTGGGTGACACTAGATGAAGGGTGCTTAGCCATGAGCTTTCTTGGTCAGCCCTTTTTTTTTTTTTTTTTTTTTTCTTCTTTCCAGTACTGGAGATTGAAGCCAGGGTCTTACTCTCAACTATGCCCTTGGCCCTTACTTGTTTTATTACTTTAAGACAGGCCCTCACTAAATTGCTGGGCATAGCTTTAATTTGAAGATCCTCCTGCTTCAGTCTCTCTTGAGTAGCTGAGAATATAGGTGAGCACCCCTATGCTGTCCCTGCTCCACATTTTGTTCTTTGTGTGGCCTCCAGCCATTCCCTTCCCTCTCTATACCTCACTGTTCTTTTCCCGTGTTTGTGAATTGTGAGGCCTCAGGGCTTCCTGTGTTTCTGAGGCGCAGAGGGGTCACCTATTCCCCAGTCTCTCACTGTGGGCAGGCCCTGACCCAAGGAGCAGAGAAAGCTGGTAGCTGCCACAGACATCCAGAGATCCCTAGGGGAAAGGCAGGAGTGAGACCCAACATTCTTCTCCCAAATACTGTGCCCTGTTTAAAGCTCCTGAAATGTGTTTTCCTTTCATTTTCTACCTCTCCACAAAGGCTTGTGAGGTTAAAGGGTTGGGGGCTGCACTGGGGAGATAGCTTGGCTGTCTAAGTGCCCGCCTGGCAAGTGCAAGGACCCGAGTTCAATCCCTGGTGCCTCGTGCCGCGCCATCCCTGGAACCCCAGGTGTGCTGTGCCAGCCACCAAAACTCAGCCTGGTGGTGCATGCCTGTAATCCCAGTGCTGGGGAGGCTGAGAAAGGAGGATCACTATGAGCTGCATAGCGAGACCCTGTATCAAATAAATAAACAAAACAAAGCAAAATGGCGTGATCTTGAGTCAGTCACTTGCCCTCTCAGAACTGCAATTCCTCCTTCTGTAAGCAACAGAACCCAGAAAGCCCTTCGGAGTTCATTTTAGAATTTCATTTTGGGTGGGGGAGGCCACTGCATCATTGCCTGCCTCCGGGCTGGAGTGGTATTTGTCTCTGCATTAGAAGTCTTTACCTCAGCTAAGCCCTCTCAGGCACCTTTAGATATCTCTGCCAGAAGCTGAGGCCAACACAGAGGGGCTGAGCAGGCTGTCCTTGGCCCTGGCCCTACTGTGCTCAGCTATGTTATACTAAACTGATTAAGGAGTCACAGCAAGACTTAGAAAGTTCCTGGAGTTAGCCAGAGCAAGTGGCCCAACCACTGTCCCCTGGGGTTCCCAACTTCTATATAGTGAAACTCGGAAGCATCAATTTGGTTAATTTAGAAGTTGAGGCAGTTCCAGTGACAGCCCTGCTGATTTGACAGGAGTTACTGACATGGATGTCGTTTCTGTTTAAAGTCATCTTCCCTTTTAAATTCTGATTACAAAGGAAAAAAGTATAGAGAGATATGCATATGATTAATGTTCACTTGAAATTCAAAACCCATCTCTGCAATAGGAAGAAAGTTTCCCACAGTAACACACACAAAAGCAAAATTCTAGAACAACACAGAAGATAGAAAAAAACCCCAGAGAGATAGTTTGCATTTCTGTACATTACAAAAGGAAAAAAAAATGAAAGGGAGAGGAAATACAAACAAAAACAAAATAACAGAAAAAAAAAAAAAAAAAAAAAAAGACACAAACTTCCCCACCCTCTTCCCTTGCCGGCTAAACAAGAAATGGAATCACAATATTACCACGTTTCAAATGGGAGGCTAAAAAACAAACAAAAACATAGATGGGGTTAAAAATGTTGAGCTTTTTTTTTTCTTTTTTGTTTCTCTCTCTTTTTTTTTTTCTTTTCCAAAAGATAGCTTCCAAGGATACCACCCCCAGTAGTTTTTCCCAAAGTCATTCTTTTTTGTCACTTGTGAAGTCAGCGATACCCAGGTCCCTCATGTCACCTCTCTGTCCTACTTTAACTCCTCTGAATGTCATTCAGACAAAGGGGGAGAGGATGCAGTGCAGGTTAGAGACCCCGGATGCTCAAGGTCACAGATCTCCAAGGGCCCAAAGGTTAGGGATGCAATTTATAGCCAGTGTTTTAAGAAATGAGTAGCAGAGCCACTGCTGTTTCCTGGAAAACCCCCCGGGGCCACCGCAAAGTGGGGTCTTGTTTTGGGTAGGTGAGCACTCCTTTTGAGAAACCTGTCCAAGCAAGGGATGATTATCCAGGAAGGGGAACAATCAAACCCTCAAAGCCCTGAGGTCAGGGAAGAGACCTCATCTCCATCCTGGTTTGAGAGAACCTGTACCTGTCTCTCTCTAGAGGTCCCAGGCTGATGGGCTACTAAGAAGTGTTTGGTTCTGTAACCCCAAGGCTCTATGCTCAGGTGAGTGGGGTCACCATGCTCTTTTCTGGGTTTGCCCATTAGCTCCAGAGCCTGTGGCATCAGTCCCTGCCACAGCTGTCCTCAGATGTCCTGTGTGCCCTCTCTTTATCCTAAGATAGACCAAGGCCATCAGAGTGGCCCTCCCCATGAGGCCCAACCATGGTCTCTGGAACTAGGAGCCACCCCAGGAGTTGACACCAAGAGTGGGTAATGTTCTCCAATTAAAATTAACGTCAAGACCAAGAATCTTCATCAACTGCCCTCAACTCTACTTTCTGAGGCCAAGGATATTTGAGAAAAGAAAGGGAGTGAAAGGAAACAGCCAAAAATCGAAATGAAACTGACCAGCACCAACAAGTTCACTGCTGTGACCTAAGGCCTGGGAGGGGTGGCTCCCCCTCCTGGCTGAGGTTTCTGGGGACAGTTTGGAGGCCTGAGGAGGAATTTGCCAGCTTCCCCGTCCCCATCACTAAGCGCACTCAGTGCCCCTGCCAGCGCTGCAGACCTCCTATCTGAGGGCCTCGAACCTGCCTCTGTGATCAGCAGACAGAAGGGTTCTGGGAACGCTGATCCCCACCTGGATGAACTGCCTGCCCCAGACAAAGCGGAGAAACCATCTTCCTCTGCCAACTCTTGGTCACCACCTGCCTGTAGCTCTGGAGGTGACTCCCTCCTGGAGGACTGATGGGGGCAGTGGGGAGGGTGTGGAGCTGGACACCCAGAGTAGTCCCTTGGGAGTGGAGGCAGGCCGTGGGAAGTGGAGCACCAGGTCTGAGGCATCTGTCTAAGTGAGGGCAGGACAGATTCTCTAGGGAGCAAGGACTTAGAAACAGCCCTGGGCCAGAGATGGGGGAGAGGATCTGGGGAAGGGAGAGGGGCCAGTAGGAGGGTGGGAAAGGGGAGGGTGTTAGAGAAAGAGCAAAGACTTGGTGGGAAGAGGGAGACTTAGGACCCAGTGGCGCCCCAGGGAGCTCCTATCTCTCTACTCTGTAGTTCCTGACTCGACTCCCACCGAGGTCCATGTACAGCTGAGATATTAGGTACCCCTAATGTCCCCGGAGGTGGGGGTGGGGCGGAGGAGATTTTGGTCACTTCCCAGCTTGTACTCAACTAAGTGTCCCAGTGGTTAGCCCCTCCCTGGCCGTCAGTTTGCCAAGCTCGAAGGTGGCCAGGTGGCCGAAGCCTGCAGGCCGCCCCTTCACCTGACCTCTAGGGACAGATGGGCGCAAACCACCTAGCCCTCTGGGCCACTCCCCTGTGAGCGGCGTGGGCAGGGAAGAAGAAGCGACCCGGCCCTCTGCTCGGCGCGGGAACCCTCCGCAAAGCGAAGCGTACGTACATCGGGCGGGCTGTGCGCCGGGCCTGGGCGGCCCCCGTGCGCTCCGCTCCGCTGCCTGCTGCCGCCGTTCTGCTGGGGAGACCCCCATCCGCTGCCGCCAGACAGGGAAGGCGACCGGCTCCCGCTGGACCGCTGGCTGCCCGTCTTCCGCCCGTCGTCTCGACGCTTGGGACTCAGCCTGGCCGGGGGGCGGGAGGATGGGGGAGCCCGCGTGGGACGCCCCCTCTGCAAGCGATGGGAACAGCCCCCCTCCCCGTGCCTGCCTCGACTTCCTATTCAGGTTTTGGGGTACTTGGGGAGCTCTTCCTGCAGGTAGGCACAACACCAGTAAAATCTCCACAGATTAACTGACCTATCACCCCGCTCCTCAGCCCCTGGGGTACTTAATTTGCAAGGCCTCCAAACAAACCAACAAACAGAGCAACCACCCACCCACCCACCCACCCACCCACCCAACCAACCAACCAAAAAGGGCCGATCGGAGGCACAGCTTTAGCTGTCTCCGCGCCCAGCCTACCTGCTGGGTGATCCAGAGTCACTGCAGTGGGAGGACAATGAGGGGCTGTGGGAACTGCCACTGCTGTGACGGTGGGACCTCCGGCCTGGGGACTCCGTGTGAGGCCTAGTGTCGGGGAGATCAGCCTGTACCTACCTTCTGCCCACATTGGCCCTGGGTTACCTGCCCTGCCCTTGGGATCCCAGGAAGGTCTGATGGTGGCCATTTCCGGTCCCGCCTCTCATCCCCCCAGTTTCCTACACAATGGCCCTGAACGGGGCTGGTGGTGGGTGTGGAGCCCAGTTGATCCCTGTAAGGCATCTGTGAAAGTCAGGAGAAGGAACAGTTTTCCGCTGGACAGCCTCAGCTCTCAAAGGCCTCATCACCTGATGCTCTCATGACTGGTGGTGATGAGGCAGGAGTGTCACTAAGACTTGGAAAAGACCTAGTGCTGGGAGGCAAGGGGCCTGGCTGGGTTCCAGCTTCATCTCTGTCACTGGCTCCTGCAGGGCTCCTGACTTCCTCTTAGGGTCTTAATTCTTTCATCTGGGCAAAGTGGACACAAGTGAGCTACCTTAGAGGGTCAGATCCTGCGGTGCTAAAAAGGTCAGGGTTCCTGTTGGAGGGTATGGGGAGGGTGCTCACCTCTTCCGCTCTTTGTTCTTCTCTTTTTTTTTGCTCTTGGGGCTTCGAGATCTGCAGGAGGCAGAGACCACAGTTCATGGTACCATCTGAGCAGAGCAGGAGTGGATGTGGCCAGAGTGGATTTGAGCTTTGCCCCCCCTGCAGGCCGGAGCCTCCTGGCTGCCAAGGACATGCATGTTTCACCCCAGAGGGTGCTTCCAGGCTCCAGAAGGCAGGGGGAGGTGATTTTTACAGATCTGGGTACCCTCAGGCCTGTCTGGTCAGATAGAAAAAGGTGATTTGGGACAGGCTTCCTGATTAGCTACCGTGGGAAGTGGCCCCTCCACAGCTCGCTCAGCTCCTGTGCCCCTTCCCAGCCCATGACTCGGACCTGGGCCTGTTCACCAGTGTGGGAAAGAAATATTTTTCCTTGGGCCTGGTCTGCTTCTGAATGACTTTTCTAAAAGGATCAAAGGAATTAGATTTGCTCTCTTGGGGAGACTGTGCACCCCAGCACCTTCTACATTTGGCAAAAAGATTGAAGGCTCCTAATTAGGCAGGAAATGTCTCCCCTTCCCCAGGACCTCCCTGATGTCTCCTCTTAGCCACATCCTCCCTGGCACTACTAGATCCCTTCAAATTTTTTTGACCCCAAAAGAAAGCAATGCAAAGAAACATTGAGATGTGCTTCCCACAGGAGCAGAGTGAATGGGGGGCATGCCGGGGAGGCCAAAGGAACTCATATTGGCTGCTTTGTACCCCAGTCTTTGTGTCGCCCTAGCTCCCTTGTAGATCCTCTCCAGGACTCCGGGATGTAGGCCAGACAGTCTGTGCAAGCTCATGGTGACCACTGGGTGGCAGCATGGACCCACACAGATGCATAGGTAGAGGGGTGGGGAGGAGGTGAGAGTGGGGGAAATTGGAGGGGCATGTTTAGGTGTTTATTTATACTCTATCCCTAGCTGACAAATGGTCTGTGGCAAATTTCCACTACAAGGAAGGCTCTGGGAACTCTGCTCCTTCTCAAGGGTGTTGGGAGGGGGTGTGCCCCTAAAGAACTTCTGTACCTTCATGCTGAGTTTCATAGAATCCCCCTGCTTCTCTTTGGCCAACGTGGTGTCTGCCAGGCCACTACCCTCCTCTTTCCCATCCCCTAATCTGCCTTAAGTAAGTCACTGTCCTTCCTGGTTAAAGCCCCATTTGGTTGGAGACCAGAAGACTGGTTTCATAGCTGGGCAGTCAGACCTATCAGAAGTTGGCACCAGCCCACCCCACAAAACTCTACCTCTACCCCAATCTACTTTCCCTGTTACCAACTGAGCCCCCAGGCTCATGGCTCACGAGCCCCTTCTGCCTGGAATGCCCCATCCCTGCAAATTTGGCGTCCTGATGCTTGTGGTACCCAGATGGTACCTCCATTGATCCATGGGACACTTGGTATCCATGGGCCCCCACTTTGGGGTGGATTTCTAGGACAAGTAAGGGTTGGGACTGCCAATCTGCATGCTCCTCCTCACTTTCCAGCCTGGTTTAGTTCCTGGAGTTGGAGGACAGCTCTGGGCCAGACTCTCACCCACCCCTTTCCTGTCATTGCTTCCTATGGGCTTGGTCCCTGGAGGGAACCACTGGCTTCTGCCCACCTGCTCTGCAGAGCGCTGCTCACCTGTGCCGTCTCTTCCTCCGCGACCCGGAGTTGGACCTATAGGGTGATAAAGGAATTCTCATGAGCTCGACTGGGTATCCCAGGGGACACCAGAGGACCTGAGAGTCCTGGGCCCACAAGGGAGGTAGGGCGCAGGGTACCTGTCTCGGCGGTGCTTCTTCATGCTCTTCTTCTTCTTTCGCAGGGGCGAGGCGCTCCCACAGCTGCGGACACAAGAGGAGTGAGCTCTAGTGAGCTGGGGTGTAGGGGAGCAGCTGGAGAAACCCGAGGGCCTGGGGTATAAAAGCTGTGAAGGGGATTTCAGGGCATGGAGCCCACAGTGACCTGAGACCCAAGGATGGGACAGCGAAGTCCCTAAGGTTACTTGATGATCCTTAGCTTCTCTTAGCATTGTAATCAAGGGTGGGTCAAACCCAAAGGCTAGAGGCTGCAATGATGGGGTTTCTAGCCTCAGTGGGTAAAAGCTGATCAAATGGGGGTGTCCAAAGTCCAGACCCTGAGGTGCCAGGTCTCGTGCTTCTAGGGGATGGCTTCAAAGAGTCCCCCCGCCAGCTCCTAGCCCTGCCCACCCAAGTACCTTCATCACTGACCTGCACCCCGACTCTAGTCTCCTCTTTTTGCTGATGACGGATGCCAGGGAGGAAGAACAGATAGGTGGACAGGATTAGTTGAGGGCCCAGCATCTCACTCAAAATAGGAGTGGGGACACAAGGATGGGGGGTAACAGGTGAGACCCTTTCAAGCCCTTCTGGGGGGCATTCATACTTGAATGCCTTGATTAGCATTGTAATCAAGGGTGGGTCAAACCCAAAGGCTAGAGGCTGCAATGATGGGGTTTCTGACAGTAAGTGCAGGGTAACAGAGGCAATACAGGGTAACAGAAGGGTTGACCAGTGACAGTTCTGGGGCTCAGCTCAGTGAAGGGAGGGCCTTGGTAAAGAGGAGGGGCGTATAGTGAGGGGACAGGGCTTCCGCAAAGTTGTGTGGGGAAGAGTCACTAAATTGAGGGGCGGGGCATCAATAAAGGGGCGTGTCCGAAACTGGGCGGGGCTTACAGGCAGCCTCGGTGCTGCCCCCTGCCGGCCAAGGACGAGCACCCTAAGGACCTGTACCGCCTCTCCCACCCATTCTGGCCCTGCGCCCTCTCACCGGCTTCTCCGGTGGCCGCCTTTCTTTTTCTTCTTCTTCTTGGGAGGGGGCGACGCCGAGCTGCTGGACCAGTGCTTGGTCCTGGGCGAGAAGGGGCGCGGACGGTGAGGGGCGGCCCCGCGCTCGCTTCCCCCCTGCCGCGGCGGCGCTCACCTGTACTCCCGGTGCCCGCGGTAGCAGGCGGCCGGGCAGTCGCAGTCCACCGGGCCGTCGTCGTCGAAGGGCGCATACTCCAGGCCCGGCTCGGCGCCCTCGTTCTGCCGTGGGGTCTCCGCCACGCTGCCGGCGACAGAGATGCTGACTGCCCGCCTCGGCCTGACCTTGGGGTCCTCGCTTGGGGCCGCAGCGCCGCCGGAGGAGGAGGCGCGGGTTTATGGCCCCAGCCCTGCAGCCTCGGGGAACCCCAGGGGGGTGCTGGCGTTACAGGTCCCCGATTTCTGGGACAACGTTCTTCAGAAGGGCAGAAGGAGAATCCAGGGGCCTACTCTGCCCTCATCCCTTCCCACTTTCCCCTCTCTCGAGGACCCCTCCCCTAGGAGTCCCTGCCTCACCGGGTGCCCTCATCTCCCTACCCACGCACGGCATCCGTCTGCTCACTGAGCCCTGAGCCCCTCGTGTCCCCTGACCCCAGTGTCTCATCCGATCCCCTCCCCTCCTGGTTCTCCCCCCTATCTACCTCCCCCCTCCCTCTGGGCGCCGCCTCTCCCCGCTTCTCCTTCAGCACTGGCCTCAGCTTCTGAAATATTCATCGCCTCCCTTCCCCCTCCCTTCCGCAGCCTCCCGAGGCCTCGTCGCTCATCTCGCTGCCTGCCGGGCTGTCCTCATCAATCACGGCCAAGCAGGGAGCGGGTCTCAGCGCTCTGCCGTCTCCCACTCCCCATCGTCTGCGAAGTCCCAGAGCAGGGACCGGCTTTGGAGCCCCCAGCCATCCTATGGCACAGATGTTCGTCCCTTCAAATCCTTCTCAGTGGGCTGCATATATATATCCCCTCTAACAGCAGCTGCCCTAAGACAAAGCATGGGCTTTGTCCTTTAGAGACAGGGTTTCAATATTCAGTCCAGGCTGGCCTTGAACTCACAGCCATCTTCCTGCCTCAGCCTCCCGAGTGCTGGGATTATAAGCATGTACATGCACTGTCCCAGGGTGCTTGGGAAAACTTAGGAGGGGGTGTTGGTAGTGGAGACTAAATCCAGGGCTTTTTTTTTTTTTTTGGTGGTGGTGTTTTTTGCGGAACTGGGGTTTGAACTCAGGCTCAGGCACTTGCCAGGAAAGCACTTATTCCACTGAGCCATCTCCCCAGCCCCTGCCCAGGGCTTCTTGACTGAGTTAAATCCCCAAATCTTTTTTGTTTTTTTCTTTCTTTCTTTCTTTCTTTCTTTCTTTCTTTCTTTCTTTCTTTCTTTCTTTCTTCTTTCGAGACAAGATCTAAGTGGCTAAGTTGCACAGTCTGGTCTTGAACTTGGAATCCTCTTGCTTCTGCCTCCCAGAGTCCTGGTATTACAGGCTGGGCAAAACTTCAGCTTTTTCTTTTTTCTTAATTGAACAAGTTTAGAAATGGGACTGGCTCCAAGATGGTGACCCTTCATCTCCACTTTCATCCATACCTCCATCTGTCATTTGTCATGCTGTGACAGTGCTCCTCCCATAAAGAGCCTCATCTCTGGCTTCAGTAGACTTCCCTTGCTCCTTGGTGCTACCTGCCCAGTTCACCCTTCCCTGTGCAGAGCAATGGAGGCCAGCGCTTGGGGGGCAGAGTGTTAAGGGCATGAGCTTTGCATTCACACTGGTTTGAATCCAGGCACGACCACGTGTCCAGCCTCAAAACCCTTATCTCTACACGGAGGGAAAGAATATCCCAGCTTTGAGTAGAGGATTAAGTAAGATTCTCTCTGTGAAGCAAGCCCTGACACCAGCCCCGGCCATGACTGCTGTCCTACACTCGGTAGCTGTTATCAGGCAGGGGGCCTCTTCCAGGGAAAAAAGAGGCTTTGACACATAAAACAGAGACAGTGGAAAGGGAGGCAGGCTGCAGCCACAGAGGGAAAGAAGAGTTCAAAGGCCAAATCTCCTGCAGGGATCACACTAGCCAACAATTTGAAGATTAAGTTTTTCAGAGAGAGAGAGAGAGAGAGAGAGAGAGAGAGAGAGAGAGAGAGAGAGATCATGACATGAGTTGGTAACCTTAAGGCCAGTCGAAAATGTCACCCATTTCCCAGCACCAGCGTGGCCCTGAGAGCCTTACAGTCACACTGTAGCAGGAAGGTTTCTCCAGGGTGACAGGTGGAGACTGATGTCATTTTCTGGCCCCTACAGAGCTGAACACCTCCATATCCCTTTAGTCAGACCTCTCTGTCCTTCCTCACATTTCTCTTCCTGAAGCCGGTGGCCTCCTACCTCCTGTCCTTGTCCTTGAGTCTCCAGCTCCCTCTGCCCGTCCAGTCCTCAACCTCCCCAACCCATTACCCCCTACACAGCTCCTCAGCTGCACAAATGCCTGACACATAAAACATAGTCTTTAGCCAAACGGAAGGGCACCTCCGATAGCATGTGGGTGAGCTGGTGGGAGGAGGGAGCCTCAGATTATCCGACATGGAAATAATAGAGGTTCCTGACAAAATGAAATGGCTCTGTTTGGATGGTGCTTTCACAGGACCCTGGGTTTTCCACTGAGAGCAGATACTGGCTGAGACCCTTTTCCTCTGAGCCCTCCCTCCCTGCTCCTCCATCCCCTTGTCCCTTCACTGTCTTCTCTTTAATCTACTGGCTGCAACTCGCAGACACATCTTTCTTTTCTGTGGCCAGGGGACCAAACTCTCTGCCTCCTTACCTGCCCCCCTCTACCCTCTCATTCTCTGGCCCCTTCTGAGGGTTACTCAGGATCTTGTCTGCCAGGAGTATTGAACTGTAGGCTTAAGGTCCCAGAGCAGACTAGATCTGGGGGAGGTACAAGAGTCCAAAACCTTTGGTTGCTTTGTCCTCCTCCTCCTTTTCTTCCTCTTCCTTTGTTGGGGGTTGAGCCCAGGGCCTCATGCAGGCTAGGCAAGTGCTCTATGATTAAGCTAGTCTACAGCCCTTTGAATCTTCTGGTAATATTACCCTGGGAATATTAGAGGCTGGGCTGATCTCTGTCTCTGTCTCTCTCTGTTCTGGGAATTAAACCCCTTGAACCTAGGGCCCTGGGCATATTTGTTTTTTTTTT